AACATGAAATACATGGCTTAGATACGCCGATCTCTATGGTGTTCCTTGCTAGTCTCATTGTAGAGATCAACGACCTGTTGTGTAGGGGCAGAGCTAGCACTTGGTGAGTCACTGGGGCCGCCGAAGTTTTTTTTTTCCTTATATTGGGCACCCGCCCTGCTCACCTGAAACCACCCGTAAAAATAATTTTAGGCAGGTTAGGCCTAAAAGCATCACGAATGCTTGACCCACGTAGAAAGATCTATGCAAAAAATTATGTAAATCCCATGGGGTTGGCCCTGCCCCATATAATTTTAGAAATGTTGGGCCCATAAAAAAAGGTCGTCTAGTCCCGTTGACACTACCCCGATCTCTTAATATTTATAATCTTTTTCTTATTCATATAGGAATTAGATGGACCAAGAGCGAGATTGCAGATTATTTTGATGTAGTAGCAGCAACAAGTACAGGAGGTCTAATTACCACTATGCTCATAGCTCCTAGTGAGGATAATCACCCTGTATATGAAGCAAAAGACATTACTAGCTTCTACTTCGGGCATGGCCCCAAGATTTTCCCTTGTACAAGGTAAAAACTACAACCAGCTTGCGTTTTTTACAATAATGCGTCTGTTTCTAGTGACGGTTATAATCTTCATAAAACTTTGCAAAATGTTAATAGAAAAAATCGTAAAATTGGTCTCCGATCTACCTTTTTTAACCGCGTAATCTCCTACCTTTCAATTTTATAGCACTTTTCGTCGTAATGAATGTAAACTGTCAACCTTTCAAATTCTTTACCATATTTCATGTTGGCTAACGCCATAGAAAACCAGAAAAATGACGCTTTATGATCTTTATAGATAGCTATTTATTTTGATTTTAAGATTTTTTGTACTTATTATTGAAGACTTTATTTTTTTTTTTTGCCTTGCAATGAATTAGGCGCTTGAGCTTCTTAAAGAGTGTTTTAATGTTTGGGGAGCCGAAGTATGATGGCAGTATTTGAGATCACTCATCAGAGGTTTATTAGGCAACTTAACATTGAGCAAACACCTTAACAAATGTGGTGATACCTACTTTTGATATCAAGCGCCTTCAACCAATTATTTCAATACAAAAGTTGTAAAATCCTTTCCTTTTTTGTTACTTGAATTCGTATATAGTTTTCCTAACTTCTTCTTCGGTTGAGCAGGAGATATTATCTAAATTTATTTGAAATTTTGCATAAGCAGAAACAAACTTGTGCAAGAATGCATTGCTATCGAATGTCTGCCTAGGCACCTCTGCAGCTCCAAAATTTCTACCACCACACTATTTTGAGATTGAAGATCCAACACAATGAATAACACGTACTAATGATCTTGTAGCTGAAGGGCTTGCTGCGAATAATCCAGCGAGTAGTTATTGAATCTCTTCTAAAAGTTTAAGTTGTGTATTCTATACGCTGGCAGATCTGATTAATTTTTTAATCAAATGCCTTATAAATGAGCATAATTTATTTTTAACGGGTGACGACAAAACTTGAGCTCGACATATCTTTATGAGTCCTGAATCCCTTATATTATGTTGAACAATCTCATTTAAAAGTTTAAGTTATTAGCGTTGAAGAAAATTCAAGTCCATGTTTGGCTCCAGTTCTCTAAAACTGATTTTTTCCCGCAAACTCATTTTTGACTACATATTTCATGAAACCAAATCTTATTAATTTTCCAACCACATATTTCATTAATTTTTATCAAAATTTACTAAAAATCTGATTTTTAGCTAAACCAAAAAGGGGCTAAATAAAATTTTCTTTTCTAGGATCTTGAACTTTTAGTATCAAGGCATGAGGAAGAAGCATGTCAAAAACAGCTTAATCAAATAAATCTGTCTCGTCCCAGACAATAACAGCACTTAAAACTTTTAAATGCGGTAGATCGTAAGTTAAAGTCGAGATACATTTATTCATTTTAATTCTATTTCGCTGGCAGACTCTTGTTGCCATGACAATGATGACATAGACATACATTTCAAAAGAAATCCTTCTGAAGAAATATGAACATTTGGATGCGGATTACGGAATCAATGGACTGAAAGAGGATGTTAATTTTATCATTAGGCACTGGTATAGCTCAAACAGAAGAAAGGTATAATGCAAAAGATGCTTCCTGATATTTGGGGCATGATCGAATGGTTATTTAACATGGGTGCCTCCCTCACCATTGTTGGATATTTTCGGTGATGCAAGCACTGATATGGTGGATATTCATATTTCAATCATTTTCCAATCCCTTCATAAAGAAAGAATTTATCTTCGAATTCAGGTATGAAAAACTGCAAGTTTATTTTACATTTACTTGTGCATGGCGTTGGTAAAATGTGTTGACATTAGAAACTGTTGACACTTCTGATTTAAGGGTGGAGATAGAATCAATTCTTTATTATGGAAAAGAATATACGTGTATGTTTGCTTGTCCTTGCATAGGAAGGAGTGGATGACCATCTAAACGTTGTTAGTGTTCTAAAAGGCTTGTCTAGATGTCGCCTATATGCGGGGCACGGAGAAGACGCCCCACCTAGCATCTAGGCATGAAAAACGGCGGGTCTTTTTGTTTGACAAGCGATATTTTCTATGTTTTGAAGTGTAGTCCAACAAAATATTAAAATCATTGCTAAAAAGGAAATAACTCCAGCATAAATGCATCCTAGCTCAGACATAGCCCACAAACTTAGTTTTTTTCTGTCCACTAATGAAACATTATTGATCTGAGGTATTTAAGATTAAATAATGCTATTTGCAGTCGTTCATTGTTATAATTGCCTTTCTTGGTATACATGTGACGATTAATGATTTGATATATTAATATTGTAGTTTTTTTTACTGTTTTATGTATCAAATCACTAATTGTCACATGTATACCACGTAGAGCGACTGCAAATAACATTATTATTTAAAATTTTGAGAATTATAACTTGAAAATATGTATAAAGTTCCTATCAATTTTCTAGGTATGCAGCATTTTATTTATTATTGGTATAGAATAACTAAAATGATAGTAAAAATAAGAAAGCACCTTATTATGTTGGATTCTTAAGGCTTGAGACTTGATCCCTCCACCTTGCCATGCTTTACACTTTTTACTTTTTAGAAACTTGACTGATGCCTAATTGTTTAAATTTGAGTTAAAATCAAATTGACATAATTCTGACTTGATTCTAAGTCTTTCTTAAAAACGTTCTCGGATTGTGCTTGTTCGCAAAAATTTGACAGTCGAGATGAAAGTTAAGCTCGTTTTAATATGCCTTTCCTATTTCTCCTTTTATCCAATAGATTTATGATTTTCTCTTCTAACTTTTCCGCTTCTGTAGTCGAGCAAAGCTATGACTAGTTGGTGATGTATGATTTTTCTACGAGTCTTAATCTGATTTTCCTTAAAACACAAGATGCGTCAATCTATTGCAATTATCATTCATCCAAATTGTCGTGCAACGTTTCGCTTTGTTTAACAGGACGAGACATTGTATGGTGATGCATCTTCAGTTGACATTGCAACTATGCAAAACATGCAAAAACTTGTGCATATTGGTGATAATCTGCTCAAAAAGCCGGTTTCAAGATTCAATTTAGACATGGGTAAACAAGAGCCAGTTCAAGGAGAGGGCACCAACGAAGAAGTTCTTACCCGTTTTGCCCACCTGCTTTCAAATCAAAGGAAGCTCGGCAAAAAAACAAAAAAAAAATAGCATCCACCTGAATAATGGAACTCTTGGCGATAAATGCAATATGGTTGCCATTTTAAGCTTCAAAATGGAGTTCAATGGATGATTACTGGCTTTTATTAGACTGGCTTATAATCACTTAACTTTGAGGCAAACTTCATTTTAGTCGATTTGGTAATTGAAGTCGATTTGGTAATTGAAGTTCGTTCATTTCACTTAAAAGCACTATGTTACCAGCCATTCATAAAACTAAGAATGTGCATAAACCACCCCCAGGGCACATCTCCAAGCGGTAAAAAGGGACGGTGAAGAAATCCAACTTTGCTTGAAGCTGCTACGTCAAGGGTTCGAATCCTGAAATATGGATTTGGTTCTTGGGTAAGTGCAAGTGTACAAGCAGTCTTCCACCCTGTACCCTTGGAGGCATAACCTGCGTTTTACCTCCCTCACGATGCTCCAAGGCAGGAGTGGTGGGGGACCCTTAAGGTTAGGGTTTAACCTTTTTTTTTTTTTTAAGAATGTGCATAAACCCCCATTTTTCTAAAACATGAGTTTTGTAACAGTGATTTTTGGGAAAACGTGTTGTTAAAAAAGTAGGAATTTTTTTAGATTTATGATGAGGTAAAAAGAAAAGAAGAAAGAAGACACCATCCCTACTAAGCACGGCATCTCACCACAATCAATCCTCCAAAACAGAAACCATTCAATTCTCTTTTCAATGATGCTGACGGTCTAAATGAAATTAAGTTTTGCACCTAATTTGGCTTGGTTTCCAGAAATTTAGAGTGATATATGTTTACAAGAGCACGTGACGATTATACAAGAATTTGGATGGTTTGTGTCACTGAAGAATGATGGTGTGCAACTATAATGAAAGGATTCGGACCAACTTGCTCTTTTATAAAGGTTGAGAACTAATTGCAATAGATTGAGGACCTATGGTGTGATTGATACACAAAACTGTAAAAACTACAAAAAGTAAAATTTTGCAGATTAGCCCATTCTCTAAAACTGGATATGAAGTAAAGATATGCATTTTAATTTATTGTCTGCTGGCAGTATTATGAACAAAAAATGCTAAATGCTATATCCCAACATCAGCAAATTGAAGATAAATACTCAGTCTAGGGAAATTTTCCTTTGACGAATAGGCCTCCGTTGCTTTATGTGTCAACACCATCATCGGCGCAAAACTATGGTCCAACTCCCTAAGCTGCTAGT